AGAGGGACTTGGAACTGAAGCAGAAAATAGGAGGTGGTAGGCCTCTCCACGGCCCGCAGCGACGGGCTCTAGGTATGTTCTGTTGGGGTTGTTCGTGGCAAGAATGAGAGCGGGCGTCAGAGCGCTGCTTGGTTGCCATCGGGGTTCTTTTCTAGAAGAGGAGGACGCTGAAAGGTCTCATTTAGTTACGTTTCGTATTTCCCGTGTCGACGTTACACACATGTTTTTTTTTTTTTTTGGCTGTTGCGGGTGGTTGCCGCCTGACTCCAAACGGAAGCAGCCCGTCGCCAGTGTAGCTGTGTATTATATCCCTTCACACGAAATTGTCTCTTGTATCTCTGTATGTTCAAGCGCTTGTTCGATGTTCACGCGCACTTTCAACAAAAGGCTCTTCCTTGACTCTCCATTATTTGAGGTGTGCGAGATCATGGGGAACACACAGCACCCATTGTGCTCTGTACTCCTGTCGTTCGAGACGGTTTGACTTTCCTCACGTCTGAGTGAGATCATGAGCGCGCCGTGCCTACTGCGGCCGAACTGGACGTCACGCGCGGTGCTTCCTCTTTGTGTTTGTCAACGATCGCGAGGAGAGCGGGACGACTCCTCTGATCCTAGCATCCAATTTTCTGTCTGTGCGGTTTCTCGATCCATGAAAGACAGACTCGAAGAGGGCGAAAAAAGGCGGATGGTCGTATCATCCTGCCTGTCTGTTGCGCTCGTCCGTCCTTACGAGGCGATCGATGCAAAATGGAACACAGCCTAGCCAAGTAAATCGAGGCTGACCTCCTGAGCAGTGAGATGATCGGCGTCAATGCCACCTAAGTAAGTCGATGCTCGATTCGTGCTGCGACTCGTCTCAACCAGGCCATTCGGTGGGTGGTTCGTTGGACTCTTTCGTCTCGCTCGATCACGATTTATTTGTCTTTATTCCTTGCGCCGGAGTCCATCCAAGCGCCGTTGTTAAATGTATATGTTGCTACATGTTCAGCATATCGACTGATGCTAGGCGCTGACTTGTAGCATAAAAATCGAAATGATGTACATCCAACACTCGCTTCTTCCTCAAGGCGGCTGGCCCCATGTCCCTTCCTCCCCCCCCCCGTCTGTCTCTTGATCTCTTCCTCTCTCTGTTATGCAGCCTAATAAGTCTCTGTAAACAATTTCCAAAACAAAAACAAAACAAATATTCATACCCAAAATAAGACACCTAACATTCAAAATTGTAGCTACCCGAAACACATGACAAGACAGAAACACAAATAAATAAGTCGCCTCCGTGTATCCTTGTACCCCTGTACTAATGTACACCACTCACTGGGGTATGTATGGACGAGGAGTGAGTACGGCGGGAAACAACGAAACACGCGCGAGAGCAACCGCGCCAAAAAAAAGTCAAATGTGGGAAAAATAACGAGCTTTGCTGGGACTGGAATCCTTGATCCGCGATACCGCACGATGTATCAAAGTCAACCATTTCTGGTCGTAAATTCGGCCAAAGAGAAAGGGGGCAAAAGGCTCTCATTATGTCTTCCCACGTGAGTGAGAACTGCTGCTGCCCTTGTGCTTCGCATGAATCGGGTTTATTACTTGTGTGTGTGTGGTTTTGTGTTGCTTGAAACATGGTACAACACAGCTTAGCATCGGAGATCAGCCCCAGGTGCCCGCTTGTGGGCACACAGATATTCGAGATTGGGTGCCGGCAATAACACATGTGCGGCGGGCAGGTGTTCCCTTCAACTCGTATCATACAGCCAGTAACAACATCATCAGCGTTATTGTGATCTTTCCACATGCATGCGATGTGTGCATTTGTTGAGGGTTGTGGTTGCAACGGCAGCGAGTGTTCACCCGCAGGTGCACGAATAGAGCTGTGGCCGCGTCAGCCACGAGAGTCGAGTGCGAGGAGGCCGGGGCGGGTCCGAACGTGGACCGTTCGAGCTCAAAGAAAGCTACAATACCAGGTCGTACGGGTGCGGTGTGCGGGAGCTCGTGTGCGGCGCAAAAAAGTTGCGTATTACATATTACATTGTAGCGGCGCTACAATGTAGCGCGCATTGTTTGGCGGGCGAACTGTCGAATTCAGCCAATCAGAATCAATATTTGC